GCTTGGGAGTGAGTGCGCGAAGTGGTTATAAAAGGCTCTCTTCCCCCCCCCCCCAAGAAGGAGGTATGTGATAACTTTGCGCCATCTGGTTTTTTATCTTGCCTTTGAGGAAATACTAACTTGAGCTTCGGAGCACTCTCACTGGGTTCCTCCCCAGAGAGTACTCGCTTTCTTCTCCGTTTCAGGCACCTTTTGCTCCAGCCAGAGGCAAGATCATTGACAGGTAGGACCGGCCGGATTGCGTTCCATCAATTGGCGTCGCCTGTGGGAATACTAACTTGAGCTTCGGAGCACTCTCACTAGGTTCCTCCCCGGAGATTACTCGCTTTCTTCTCCGTTTCATGCACCTTTTGCTCCAGCCAGAGGCAAGATCGTTGACAGATATGACCGGCCGGATTGCGCTCCATCAAAATCCAATCTCCCCAAAACTACATTGGATGGAGACCAGATCTCCTCACTAACTGCTCTTCATAGTTTACACGGACCTTATAGGCACACCCGACCGTGCATTGAAAACATCTTTCGTGAATAATAATTCATAAATAGGTGTTCCCAATGATTTCAGATCTACAGCCCACCAGGGGGTGCCCAACTACGTCTCACAGCACATACCCACCGTGTATTAAAAACATAGAGATGTGCTGTGGGGCGCAAATGCAAACTCATTCCCCGATACATGGTGGAATGTATCTGTGAGGTGAACTCTGCAAATAGCGGATCCGGTCTCCATTGGATGAGGTCTTCCGCTGTAGCCCCAGAAAACGAGTTGGATCACCTGCCAACAAAAGTGTAACGTCTTTTATTGGCCATGATCCGGATTCCTACGAAACAGCCCAAACCCCGTAGAGAAGGAGAAAAATACCCATATCAATTCTCAGATTTTCATTTTCTGGAGTGTGTTATTCCACTCGTAAGTTGCCCCATTGATGAATTTTGCGTCTCGCTCCTTCTTTACCTCTCTGTTACACTTCACCGAGCAAAAAAATCTCCACAATGGAAGAACCTTGCACGCTCAGATCGTCAAATCGGGTTTGGGCTCGGATCTTTTCCTTGCCAACAGTCTTGTCAACTACTACGCCAAGTGCGGCCACTTGGTTCAAGCCCAGCTCCAATTCGAAGAGATAGACAACAAAGATGTCATCTCATGGAACTGTCTCATCAATGGCTACTCTCAGCAGAGCAGCCCAGAGGGTTCTTCCCTTGTTGTGCAGTTGTTTCAGCGTATGAGAACAGAGAATGTAATCCCCAACGCCCACACTTTAGCCGGTGTCTTGACCACCGCGGCGAATTTGTCAGATGCTTCGTTTGGGCAGCAGGCTCATTGCGTTTCCATTAAGATAGCGAATTCTCGGGATATTTTTGTGGGTTGCTCCCTGATCAATATGTATTGTAAATCGGGTTTTGTATTGGAGGGCCGCCGCGTGTTTGACAGAATGCCCGAGAGGAACTCTGTTTCGTGGACTACAATGATTTCAGGATATGCTGTTGAGAGACTCACAGCGGAAGCTATGCTGCTGTTTAAATTAATGCGTTGTGAAGAGGGGGACGAGAATGAGTTTGTCTTTACCAGTATTCTTAGTGCATTGGTGCTTCCTGAACATATTGACAATGTCAAGCAAGTCCATTGTGTTGCACTTAGAAACGGCTTGGTATCATTTTTGTCTGTGAGGAATGCCCTTGTGACAAGTTATACAAAGTCTGGGAATTCAAATGATGCGCTTGGAATGTTTGAGTCCTCAACTGATAGGAACACCATTACGTGGTCCGCAATGATCACAGGCTATGCCCAAACCGGCAATTCTGAGGATGCTTTGTGCTTGTTTTCCAAGATGCAATCTTTTGGGATTAGACCTAGTAAATTCACCTTTGTTGGGGTCCTCAATGCTTGCAGTGACATTGGTGCAGTTAGAGAAGGAAAGCAAGTGCATGACTATTTATTGAAATTGGGGTTTGAATCCCAAGTGTTCATAAGGACCGCATTGGTTGACATGTATGCAAAATGTGGTTGTGTCGTTGATGCTCGAAAGGGGTTTGATCAGTTACAAGATCCTGATATTGTGTTGTGGACGTCAATGATAGGAGGATATGTACAAAATGGAGAGTACGAAGAGGCTCTGAGTTTATATGGTAGAATGGATATGGAGGGGATATGGCCTAATGAACTGACCTTGGCCAGTGTCATAAGAGCATGTTCAAGCCTTGCAGCTTTGGAGCAAGGGAAACAAATCCACGCCCGCACAATTAAGCTTGGGTTTGGTTTAGAAATCCCAATTGGAAGTGCACTATCAACCATGTATGCAAAATGTGCGGACCTTGAAGATGGAAGCCTTATCTTTAGAAGGATGCCCTGTAGGGATGTGGTTTCATGGAATTCAATGATATCCGGACTCTCTCAAAATGGATGTGGTAAAGAGGCTCTAGATCTGTTTGAAGAAATGCGCATGGAAGGCACAAAGCCAGACTATGTAACATTTGTCAACCTTCTTTCAGCTTGTAGCCACATGGGTTTGGTGGAGAGAGGTTGGGCCTACTTCAAGTCTATGTTTAGTGAATATGTGATGGCACCAAGGGTGGAGCATTATGCTTGCATGGTTGATATCCTTAGCCGTGCTGGAAAGCTCAATGAAGCCAAAGAATTAATTGAATCAGTTTCCTCCGAGTATGAGATGTGCCTATGGCGTATTTTGTTGGGTGCTTGCCGGAACTATCGAAACTTTGATATCGGAGCATACGCAGGGGAAAGGCTAATGAAACTGGGAACGCAGGATTCATCTGCTTATGTTTTGTTGTCTAGTATCTATTCTGCCTTGGGTAGGTGGGAAGACGTCGAACGGGTAAGAGGAGTGATGAGACTTCGAGGGGTGAACAAAGAGCCTGGGTGTAGCTGGATAGAGATAAAGAGTAGAGTTCATGTATTTGTAGTTGGGGACCAATTGCACCCACAAATTGGTGATATACATGAAGAAGTAAAAAGGTTAACCAAGCAAATGAAAGATGAAGGATACCAACCTTCCTTGGATTCGGTATTTCGTCGCTTTACTTGCTCTGAGACGACAAGAAGTTATAATTAAAATTTTTTATATCCAATTCTCACGCCAAATTGTTGGCATTTTTTTTCCATGCATTGGTTTAACACAAATAATCATCAAATAAAATTTTTTTTGATAATCAAATAAACTGTATTATATTCTTGCACCCCAAAGAAATGGCAGAAAGGGTTCAGATATGCTATCCACAAGACATTACAGCTGTTCATTAGAAATATTTCTCTGCTCATTTATGCTACGTTTGGTTTAAAGGAAAAAATAGGGAAAGGAAGGGAAAGATAGGAAAACCATTACAAACCTTATATAGGTTTTCCTGCTTTTTCCTTCCTTTCCTTATCTTTTCCTTTAAATCAAACATAACCTTATGGGAAAATGTTTTCCCAAAAAGAAACCTATTTCCTTTTCCATCTATCAAGGAGTTTTGGCTTGAACCCACATTTTCTTCTAAATCATCTAGATGGTGTTTGGAAGTGTGGGCATTGACTGAACCCACATTTCCTTCTAAGGTGATTTTCATCACTATTTTTCATGTATGTGCTGACAGGTAAGCACCACATAGGATACATGTAATCGTCAATCAGTCAATCATTGGGGGAAACGGTAAACGCCAAATTTGACGTTTCATGCATCGGTGGGGTCTCGATTAACAAGGTATGCCCGATTTTTCAATAAATGTCTGAACCAAATAATGAAATATATGGGCATCTGTTGAAACGCCTATATAGATCCGATGTGGCACCGTTTTTTGAAAAACGGCCACAGTTCCAAACATCCCCCTAGTTGGCATTTTTTCTTTCCCCATTGGAATTATTTGTTTTGACAGAAATTTGGGATTGCTAGAAAAATTGATTTAAGCTGAGAAAATCTGGAGAATGCATCCTGAATTTCTTACTGGATGTTTTCAACATGGACTCTGAAGTTACTAGGCCATGGCAGAAAAATACAGGCGTGTTTGGCATTGATGCCATTTTTTGAGAAAACGGTGTTACATAGGCACCACGTCAGAAAAAAGCGGTGCTTTAAAAAACGACCTCTTATTTGATACCGTTTTTCTAAAAAAAAACATTGCTTCAGACCACATCTTGAAAATTGAAAAAGTATGGCCTGAAGAAACATCAAATTCAATATTTTCTCACAAAACGGTACTTTCAACTCAGACATACCCAGCACCATTTTTATAAGAAAATGGTTCTATGTTCCTAGTACCGATGCCAAACACCTACATAATTGTTGTTCGACTTGTGCATTTCAGCATTGGGGTCAAGATTATATGAATGTATTAGAGAATTCAAATACTGTGTATTTCAAATATTTAGCACTCACTAAATCAAAATTTTAACCCATCATGTTAAAGATGTCACATGCTCTAATTAATTTTCATCGATTCATGTTTCAATCTATATTTTTAGATTTTAGAAGAAAGGTCGCCCATCCCCTATCCCCTTGGCACCCCCCAACCCTGGTGGCAATGAAAATTTCAAAAGATGCACCTAACAAGTTGCCTTACCTATAAAAAAAAAAAAAAAAAAAAAAAGAGTTGGAAAGGTGGTCAAATTGTATGGACCAAACAATGGCCAGTTAAGAAAGGGAAATTTTACGATTACTTTGGATCTAATGCCACTTTCATCCCCGAATTTAACTATGTATAAAGAAGAATACAATCAATATGTATTATGTACATGAACTAATGAATTTTGGTAAAAAAAAAGAAATTAAAGAAAGAATGGTTGAATATCTATTTGCACCATCATCAGCGCATCATTGCTCTGAACTCGTCGAAGCTAAGCACGCCATCCCCATTCAGATCAAACGACTTAATTATATCCTTACACTGCCCTATCGTCCTTGACTCACCGAGTCGACTCATCATCCGCTTCAAACTCGTAGGCGTTATAAACCCCGACCCCTCCATCTCATACATCCCAAACGCCTCCCTTAAGTCCTTCTGCCTCTCCTCCTCCCCACTCACCTCCATCAACTTAACAAAATCATCGTACCCAAACAAGCCGTCCCCGTCCGAGTCTGATGATTCCACGGCTGCCTCGGCCTCCTCCGTCGACATTTCCCCACCCACCATTCTCACGCAACTCTGCAGCTCCTCTGGTGAGATTTTCCCGTCGCCGTTCTCGTCCAAGTACCGAAACACACGATCTAATTCACCGTATTTTGGGGCGTTGGGCTCGACCGAAAGAGTACGTTTGTCTGATTTCTTGGGCGAGAGCTTGCGGCATAGTTTCTGGAAAGCTGATGACTTGGGAGACGACGAACCTGGTAGTCTGTCCGTGGAGTCTCGAACATGTGAAGTCGAATAATGAGACTCATTATTCGTCATAATGAAGAGGGAAAAACTGAGTGAAAACGACTCGGGTTAGCTCTACAGCTGAAAATTCAGATGGGTATGTATCCCTGAATTTCAAATGGGTTGGTCGCAAGCTTTCTTTGAAGGAAAACTTAACAAATCGAGATGGGTATTGTGAATTTGGCTTTTCGAAATGCGTAACCGGTCGCAAGCTTTGATGATGAAGAAAGTCGACTAATCGAGTAACTGGTGACAAGCTTTTATATAGAGAGAGGAGGCCTGAACCAAGAAGATAGGGGAGAAAAATGGATAAAGTCGATATTAAAGAGATGAATATCCTTGTTTTGCAAACAAGTTTCGACGTCGGATAGTCTGATGATATTGCAGAGAACATTGTTTTAGCTTTCGTTATATAACTCCCGTGGGCGGTTTGCAGCTGTTTCGATCTGTGCTTTTCCCACGTCTTGGAAATGGAGGGGAAATTTCGCAGTCGGAGATGGATCGTGGAAGACCTAGAAGTTCGATTCTATCCATATCGAGAGGTACAAAAAGGGATAGAGAAAGACCACCTGCTTGTTGTGGTTGTGGTTCGGTTTATACGTTCGTCGGTACTCGGTTGCGGATTCGCCGCCAAGGACTTTCTTTGCTACGACATTGTTTCAGCGCAGCGCTAAAACAGAAAAATCAAAGCCGTCGATGTGGTGAAAACTCGGAATCTGGGAGGAAGATCGGTGAGTGGGGCCACCGAAGGGCGTTGTAGAAAATAATAAGAAGTTGGAAGTTTTAACTACCCAGAGAAAAGAACCGACGTAGAAAGCGTGTCGTGTACGCGCCCCGGTCAAATGAACGAAGAGAATGGTATGACTTTTGTATAAATATATAATATACAATTCAGGCGGCCGTAGACGTGAAGAGTGATGACGTTGGCTTTTTCATCGTGTGGAACGGGATATCAACTGGGCGGGTTATTCGGATAGGCGTCGGATCTGTTCACAAGTCACAACGTTTTAATATCATCTTTGTCCATATATTAGCGCTGTCAACGGGTCATTGAAACAGGGTAAAACCGGAATCAATCTGACAAAAAACGTTAAGGTATGAAATCGTACGTTGTAATTTTAAAATTAAATTTAACTGATCGGTTTTTGGGATAATTGGGTTTGATTAATTGACCCGATTAATCTTGAAACGATAATTTGCCCAATGGGTTCGGATCCAACGGTCAGATCTGACCCATTGACTGTCCTAACATATTTTACTTTTTTTTTTTTTTGAAAATTCTCCTAAGTAACCTGTATTTTAAATCAAGTGTCAACTTAATACTCAAACTTTAAAACACAATAATCTAGTTATGTATATCACATGACCTTATATGCGATTTAAGACATTTGTACTGAGACCATCGTTGAACCAGCGTGGTCTCCAGTCTACTGATTCACGTACCTTCTAGTTAATCTCTCTTTGTTCTTCAACCGATCGATATTGTTCAATATTCATGAATTTGGGCACGTGTAATATTTTTCTGTCGAAAAGGAAAAACTATACAGATAAATTTACAGGAGTTTGGAGTTGTTGTGCAGGGAAATATATACAAAACAAGAATAATCTAAGAATTTAAGCAAACCATCCTCATCATGTTCACAGTTCACCGGGACTGATGACTAATCAATTAACTCAACAATTTCGAGAAACTTAACATCTAATAACCAATTGAAATAACAACGTATCTCCAACATTCTCCGCCCCAAGTCTTCCCCTTTCACCTCTCTCTTTCTCTCTCTCAAACGAAAAGAAGGCAAGAGAACAAAGAGAAATTAAGATTGAAAAATAAATCAGATATGCATAGATTAATACTAGTTGGGTAATACAGAAGTAAACGAAAATAAAGTCTCTCATGTCAATAAGGAGATACGATCATGGTTGAAAAACCAGGTTTCGACTTCGTCGAGTCATGGAGACTGGGAGAGGTTTGAATTTTGATGACACTCAGACCAAGTCAGAACTCAGAACATGAAGCAATGACTTATGGGGAGTCGATGCTCACCAGTCGCATCATCGATCTTAATGTAGTACAACTAGCTCATTACGAAGTAGAGGAGGGTGCAAGGCTCAGATGTAGATCAACTCCAACGTCCACCTCCGGCATTCTCCCGGAAAACTGAATTATCGATAGAGCAGGGCGTGGACGAACGTCGGGATCCACAGGAAATTGGGGTGGGCGAGAGACGTAAAGCCAAGAAGGGAGCCGGGGAGAAGATTACGACGACGGCATCGGTGGTGGTGATGCATAGTACTCGGTCGGAGAGTGGAGTTGAGCAGCTGCACTGATGCCCAATGGCAAACCTGAGTATAAGAAGGGCCCTGACTACACTGCGTGGGGATTAAGAAGTGGGGAGACTGTGGTTGAGAACCGCCGATTGCTTTGGAATTGGGCTCGCTTTGCTCGTTACCTCTCCTTCTTATGAGCGTTTTGATGGCCTCCGACTCCCTGAGAATTCCCAAATTCGCGTCCACAGTACTGACATTCGAATTTCCTACTGTTTTCTGGAAACAACTTACAACTGGAGATCACGGTTGAGACTGTCGTTGAACCAGCTCCGTTGTAAGCTCTGCAACCAATTCGAATACAACCAAGAAGGAGAAGAATGTAGCAGACTAGAGATCTTTGGTGAGGAAGGGAGTGGTACTACTATTAAAATAGAGAGAATTTTTCCGGAGTTAAAATAATAACCTTCGCACGCATTCGCTGTTGATGCAGCTGTTCACTGGCACCTTCATTGTACCGGATCCGGCAACTCCTTCATTGTCTAGAGAGGTCACTCTCCGGATCCGTTTTGGCCACCAGTTTCTGGGTCAACAGACGGTTTAATTGTCTGTAGGTGCTCCACCTCCCTCTCTATAGTTGTTGTAGACTTACAAGCTTGCAGATTGCAAATGGTTGATATTTGATTAAGAAAATTAGATGATAGTTGAAAGACATTTGTGTCTTTTTTGGTGACACTTATATTGTTGTATTTCAAAATTTGGGTACTAGATTGTCGTATTTTAAAGTTTGAGTACTAAATTGACATGTGGCCTAAATTACAAGTACCTATCGGAAATTTTCCTTTATATATGACAGTATGGTGAGACTGGAACTCATCACGGTGAATTCCATCATTTGGGTAACCGGTCATGCCCCAGCCTATACCCCTAATCTGTTCCTTACAGAGTGCACCTCACACCGGGTTCACACTCACATCCCACCCTGAGAATATCTATCCAGTATGGAAGATGTTCCCTATATGCGGCCAAGACATGCCGTGAGGTTGACGTGAGACGCACTGTATAAAGGGTAGATCCGGTCTCCATCTTATGGTCGTCGGATCGTGCTTTTTTTTTTTTTTTTTGTGTGTGTGATGATGATTTTGGATGAGGTTTGTTGTATTTGAGATTTCCATAACATGAATTTCAAGCATTCTTATATTTTTATTCGTTTTTCTTTTATAATAATAATTTTCATATTTAACGTATTCACCCGTATTGCCCCATTTCGTGCCCCTGACTCGTTGACATCCAGTAGTGAATACCTATACTTGTCTGCTTATGTGTGCAGCTGAAGTTGTCTCTAATATGAGGTGGAATATGGTGCAAATCTGATTTCTCATCCCTTAAAGATGGCTATGAGATGGGACCTGACCCGTTGACATCCCATCACTACTTGGATTACATATGAAACAAAAGATATTCTATTTTTATAACTTTCACTAGTTTTTCTAGAAGGGGGTTAACCATAGATTCCAAATTTCCTCCTCAACGAATGCGCTTTAATCCACCTATAGTCATGGTTCATATATCAAGAAAGAACAGGAGCACTTTCAAAAGAGTTGCTAAAATAATAATTGTTAACAACAGTAGATTCAAATCCAGAAGTTTCAGACTTTTAGACCGATTGGTCTTACTAATGTCCTTTACCAGGTGGTTACTAAAATTCTCACTCACATATGAGATCCCTGCTCTTAAAATTCTCACTCACATATGAGATCCCTACTCCCAATATTGTTAATCCCAATGCAAAATACCTTTATGGTGCTTCATGGAATTCCTTGTAGTTTTATTCATCCCAATGCAAAATACCCCGTGTTATGGGATTTGTGACAAAGACCCCCTGTATCTATTTTGTTTCGCCACAAAGACCCCTGCTATATTATCACCGTCTGATCTTGCAATATTTTTTAATCTTCACATTATTTTTGTAATAACTATTCCAACAATTGGAAGAAAAACATTTCATCTTCCGGACGGGCGATAATCCCTTTTACCTCAGATTCCGGGACAACAATCCACTTATGAATAATGTCATACCATAAACAAGGGAATCTACCGGCGGGATTGCGAGTGGTTTGTAAACATCTAGGCAAGAGCCGATTGGCATCTTCTGCGGTGGCAGCGGTGCAGCCAGTGGGTTTTCAGGCAAGAAGATGCGATGATTCACTGCTGCAGCAGCAGGACGGGATCCAGAGCGCCATTCTTCACTGCAAGAGGTCGTTTAATGCTTCCAGAGGTATAGATCTGGTCTCGCTATAATTTACTTATTTCAGACTTAACCATAGAACACATTTCAACTGTTCAAGTCTGTTAATTCAATTCTGATATTCTCTTCCCCAGATTCAGAGACTTCTCTTCTGTCGCAGTGTGCGAGTGATCCTTCTCACGAAATGTCTATTTGTTCGTCGAGAAATTCTTCCTAGGGTGGAAATGACGATCGGAGGTGAAGCCCCGCTTAACATCTTAGGTCGAGAAAGAGAGAGAGGCGGGAAGTTGTCTAGACTCTGTTTTCTTTCTTTCTTTCTTTGTTTAAAAATTTTGTAAAAAAAAAAGGAAATTGTGTTATTAATGAGCGATGGTTGTTTTGATGGGGTAGGTGGAGATGTAGGTCAGTCACAGTAGCCACTACTCATCAGTTTCTTCAACTTCATGTAAAGAAGCCATCTGTCTGTGAAGATAATTATTTCTTCTGATCTGTTGTGCAAGCAGAGGCAGAGAGAGTAGTATTCGAACCAGAGATGAGATCTTAATTCTTAACGCCTATGATTTTAAACAGAAAAGTAGAATTATGTATTAATAATAAGTCCATTAAAGCAATTTGCAATATTTTCTTTTTAGTTTTTCCCGCTCTGCGAATCAACGGCAGGACAAAATGTTGTCTTATGCGGTTAGCGAAGAGAGAAAGTAAAGACAAAGACGGGAACAGTGAAAATCTTTGAAATTCATACTTCATTGATGGAAAGAGAGATAAGAAGAAAAGGAAAACAGTAAAGTAAGGGAGGGTAATGGTTAATGGCGAGTGACCATTCTTTTTTTTTTAATCTTTGTCTTATTACTACTTTGGTTGTTGTGAAGTTACAGATAGAACAGAGGAAAGCGGGAAGAAGAAAGGGGAGGAGAGAAAGGGGAAGGGGAAGAAGAGAGATCGGGGGAGAGAGAGAGGGACAGAGGGAGAGAGAGAGAAATGTGAAGGAATTTGATATTCGTGTATCGTGAAGTCAGAGAAGATTAAAAAATATTGCAACGCAGATTTCAACCAAAAACTAACGAAAAGGAATTTTTATCGCAAAACAAAATACATGGGGGTCTTTGTCACAGACCCCACAGTACGAGGGGTCTGTCTAATTTACCCTTATTTATTTTATGTTTGGTTTTTTTGTTACAGCTTCCCCTCAAGGGTTTCAAATTTGGGACAATTAATTGTAAGATTAACCATATATTATTGGTAGATGATATTTTGAATTTTGGTAGAGCCTTAGTTAATGAGTTGGATATTATCAATCATTACCTTTCTTGTTTTAATGATGTTTTGAAAGAGATGAGGTATAGAGCAAAACATCTTGTAACTTATTTTGATGCAGTGAAGAAGAGTAATGAGACTTGGTGGGGTTGGTAATGGAGGTAGATTTGGCCCCACCCCTTGGCTGTGCGACACGTGGAAGAAGACGGGGTGACCTGGCAGGAGCGCTAGGTCGGCACGGTGACGTAGCACGGCTATATCCCAAAGAGGGGCCCGAGCTCCCGAGTTCCCCAAGAAGAGGCCCGAACTCCCCAAAAGGGACCCACACTGCTTGGGAGTGAAACCTGAACTCTCCGCAAAGGATCCCGAGACTAACAGCGAACCCCGCAAGGGGCAAGGCCCGGACTAGTCCACCTCGTGTCAGTTCGGACCATATGACAGCGCTTTGGGACAGTAGGACCTACACATCCGAACTCAAGACTTCACCTCGCGCACCACTCCAGCACCTCGGCTCCAGGTCGCGTGACTGTGAAACCATGTCTGACAGATCCGTACTCTAAGGCAGCACACCTGACTGGTATGGGTCTGACAGATGGCAATCACGCCGCAACGGCCACCTGCCACCGCCATCTCAGTTGTGGCAGAGACGACCATGACAAAGAAGACAGTGGTGGTTATACCTGACTTGGTAGAAATTGGGGAGTAAGTGTACCAGGTGGCTATAAAAGGCCTTCCTCCCCCAGAGAAAGAGGTATGTGATATTTGTGCTTTCTGGTCTTGAAATCCCTTATTTTCCCTTGCCTTCTCAAGAGTATTAACTTGAGCATCGGAGTGTTCCTACCGGGTTCCCCCCCGGAAATCTCCAGTCTCTTCCTTGTTTCAGGCATCTTCAGCTCCAACGAGGCAAGGTTACTACCGGCAGCTAGGACCGACCGGATTGTGCACCATCATTTGGCGTCGTCTGTGGGAAGACTTCAAAAGGCCTCCCTTAACCTTTAACTCTCTCTCAAAGAAACCTTAGCATCCATGGCTTCCTCCAGCAGTAACAAGCACAACGCCGACTTGAATGTTGTAAAGGAACACCCTCAGCTCGCCACTGTGTGCATCGAACAGTTCACCGTCCCCCTCTCGGCGGACAGAATCCCTAGCCTCAATGCGCCGAGCACGGTGGCACCTGTGAATGTCCCCCTTCCCCTCCCTATTGAGACAACCTTTGCCGAACCGACCGTTGTCCCTCTGGCGACCAGCCAGAATCAGCTTGATGACTTAATGCAATGCATGCGGGCCATGCAAGCCCCAAATGCAACAGTTCCAGCAACATCAACTCCATCAGCAGCAAGTACTACACCACATTTCTCAGTATCACTACCAACAGCAGTTCCCCCAACTGCCTCTGAACCAACCGTAGCTCCCACCTCGACACCCTGCTGTCAAGCCGGTCAAGCCCTCTCCTCAGGGCGGGCGCCTTCACCGAGGGGAAGCTTCCCAGCCTCAGAACCCCTCCAGAAGTCAGGCCTCGTCCCCTGGCAGGAGGGAGAGACTAACTACCCCCGCCTCGCAGCTCACTGGCGGATCAGGAACCTCCCAGCCAATCAAGTCAGCACCTTGGCACTCTAAGTTCGGGCTCCCGCTCGCAGAGAACCAATTCGGCGTCCTGGCCGCGGACTACCACCAATAGTCCAGGCCCATTGAGCTTAGCAACACCGAGGCAAGCAGCGCCAATACCGGGCCTTCCAAGCAGCAGCGGAGGTGCCGGCGAGGTCGCCGAACTACCACCCGCGTCCTGCCCAAGCTCCGAGGTAAAGCAGAAGCAAGCTTAGACGAGGTAAAAGTTGCCCCTATTCTTTCAGTCCCTTCCCCCCTGTCATCAGAACTCCTCGCGGTCCCCATGCCCAAAGATTTCAAACCCCCTCTGCTAGACAAGTATGATGGGTCCTTTGACCCCAGTGACCATGTTGATTCCTTCCAGTCCCAAATGCACCTGGCGAGGGCCAGCGAGTCCTGCATGTGTGTGGCTTTCACTACCACCTTCAGGGGAGTGGCCCGCACTTGGTATAGGAACCTAGCCCCCGGGTCGATAAGGAGCTGGACCCAGTTTGTGCAAATCTTCACCGCGCACTTTGTCACCAGCAAGCGGTGCCCCCGAATCGAGGAGAGCCCCCTCGAGATAGCCCAGAGGGAAGGAGAGACCATCGGGGGCTATATCAAGCGGTTCAATGACGCGTGCTTGCAGATACTGTGCCTAGACCCACAGTACAGCTCGCGGCAGCCAAGAGGGGTGTGATGCACAAGGAGCTCAAGTGGCACATGGTGGTCAACCAGCCCACGACCATAAGAACAGAGGAGGAGATCAACCAAAGGACTGAAAGCGGGATTGAAAAAAGAAAGAGGGAAGGCGAACCCTCCAACCAAGATGACAGGAGAAAGAAAGACTCAGCTCGGGGGATGAAGCCGAGTCAGCCATCCCAAGCTCCCATAGCAGGTCGGGCGGACTACACGCCCATAAATGCGAAGTGGGTTGAGATCTTGATGACGATCAAAGACGCCCTGTACGTGAAGTGGCCACCTCGTCTGAAAGGGAACCCGAACAAGAGGAATAAAAACTTGTACTACAGTTTTCATAGAGACCACAGTCATAGCACCGAACATTGTAATAATCTCCGCAACGAGATAAAGGAACTTATCCGTCGCGGGTACCTAAGAAATTTTGTACAGCATAATAATAATAATAATAATAATAATAATAATAATAATAATAAGACAGGTCGGCAGGGGGAGCACAACAGAGATGCTCCCGAGTCCAGTAGCCGGCCAGCAGAACAATCACAAAAGCAGCCCCCAGAGGAAAGGTCAGTTCGGGAACAATCCACGTGATCGTTGGAGGATCGATCGTAGTAGGATGCACCTCGGCAGCAGCTCGGGCATCAACCCATGAGGCCGCCAGAGAAGAACAAAATCCCCCAAAGCGGCCTAGGATGGAAGACCCCATATTCTTCACCGAGGACGATGCGCGCAGGGTTCACTACCCCCACGACGACACACTTGTCATAAAGGTAAAGATCAATGACTTCGAAGTCCGACGCGTACTTGTCGACTCCGGCAATTTGGCAGACATCCTTTTTAAAGCGGCCTTCGACAAACTCCATATCTGAGAGAGTGACTTGAAGCCTGCGAACACCCCGCTAGTCGGCTTCAGCGGAGAAGAGGTCAGACCCCTGGAAAAGGTCACAGTACCTGTGGAAGTCGGCACGTGGCCTAGCACGGTAAGACTCAGGCATGACTTCTTGGTGGTTGCGACCCCCTCCCCCTACAATGCCATAGTAGGTCGGCCGATCACCCACGCCTTAAAGGTCGTGGTGTCCACTTACTATTTAGCTATGAAGTTCCCTACGGACTTCGGTATTGGGGTAGTGCGGGGCAACCAACTTGAGTCCCGCAATTGCTACGTCGCCGCCCTCAAGGGAAAGGCCAAGGTAACCAGCGACCTCGAACTGGAGCGACTGGTGGAGCAGAACGAGGAGCGAGCTGCACCAATGGAGGAAACTATTACCGTCCCTGTCTCGACAGAGGACCCAGGTAGATCACTTTAGGTCGGTGCTTCCCTGGAAGAGCCCTTGCGATCCGAACTGGTATGCTTCTTACTCAGTAACTTAGATGTTTTCGCTTGGTCCGCAGCAGAAATGCCCGGCATAGATCCTAACCTCATAACTCACAAGTAGACCTGTTCATGGGTCGGGTGGCCCGACGGGCCGGCCCGGTCCCCGGACGGGCTTGAACAGGTATATAGGCCCGCGGGCTTAACCTCGGGCCAAAAATCCCGACCCGTAATAAATTCGAGCCGGGCTCGGGATTTGCCAAAATAGCCCGACCCGGCCCGACCTATAAATAAACCTAAAAACCCTAGTTGAATACCCCTCTTTTTTTCACCTCTTTCCCTTCTTTTTCCAACCAAATTCTTCTTCTCCACANTCTTTCCCTTCTTTTTCCAACCAAATTCTTCTTCTCCACATCCTCTTTCCCTTTTTATATATTTTGTTTAATATAAATAAATTTTGAATTTATATATTTTTTAATGTAAATAAATTCTGATTTATATTGATTATTGAATTCAGAATTTATACTGAATTTATATTCTTTTTTAATGTAAATAAATTCTGATTTATATTGATTATTGAATAGGGAAAATTTCTAATTTTTTTTATTAGGTCGGGCTTCGGGCTCGGGCTCGGGCTTCAGGCTTTTTATTAGGGCCAGGCCCGGGCCCAAGTTGTAGGCCCGTTGGTTGGGCTGGGCTTGGGCTCGGGCCTA